TTTGCTGGATTGTTCTCACTTGTTGTACACAACAAAGAGCTGTTGTTACTGTTAGCTGTGTGTACCTATCCATTACCCAATCTAACAGAGGACTCTGAGGCCAAGAGACAGAACGATTGCTCTGGAAGCAGACAGCCACCTGCCCTTTTGTTACCCACCAACGCAGGTCTGCCAAAGCAGCTCTTTGCATCCGATTAAATTTTGCATTTTCATCTAGCCAACAGCAGCTGTTTGCCCCCCCCCCNTTGTATTCTGATTGGTTGTCAGACCATGGGGCCATGCAGGGGCAACTCTCTAGGCTGCATTTTGAATTCAGATTTCGTTGAGTTTTCAGATGCCATGTGGTGAGTTGGGTAAAGTGCCAATATTATGATGTCTTAATCCCATCCCCCTGGAGCTGATGGGGAGAACTCTTTATTATGTAAAGGGAATGGCTTGGCCTTCTTAATGGCCCATTGACAAAAGAGAGGGGAGGTAGGAAGCTGCAGGGAGTTTCTCTTTAAAACATTTCTCCTTTCAACATCCAGGGAAATATAATATTCTGCCTTTTCAGTATTTCCTAACATATTTAATTTTTCTGGGAGAGGGCTGGGTGATAACTTTCCATAATTGGAAGGAGCAAGAAATAAATTAATACAACTGTAAAGTTTCATATATGCCATCTTTCTAAAGCATCTAATGGGGACAATACCTTTTTAAGTCAACTTGCCAAGTTCTCCAAAGGACAGGTTAATGGGAGATTTCCAGGCCTACTGTAAGACAAACTCCCAACAACAGATCATGAAAGTTTCATTTTTCAGAAGTTGGAAGAAGAAACAAAGGAGCCAGCAATTCTGAACTTAATTCTGACTAAGAAAGAGGAAATTGTTGATGATCCAAGGAGAGACGCCTTGGGGGAAAGTAACATTATTGGGATTTTAAAAAGCAGGGAAGGAAGACCTTTGGAGCTTTGTATTGGACATTGTAAACAGTGCAATGATATGGAGAACTGTTCAAAAAATCAATTCTTTGGATCACAGAGTTGCAACATCATAAATGGAGGCCAGAAATTCTTCAAAACCACCAGCTGTGGTGTCACAGCTCACAGATGACTGCCTAAGAAGAGCTTTGGAAGGTGAAAGACTAGAATAATGGTAACTCCTTGTATTCTGGACCCTGCTGAGTGCACAGATGGAGGTTTCTACAGACAACCTGTGTCTTCCAGATATTTCTGAGTTTAAAATCCTCATTTTTGCTACCACAAATATCTTTGGATCACATGAGATTGAGCTGGCATTTGCACTTTCCCCCTCAACCAAAATTAGACTAGGCTGTGATGTTTCAATGTTTCATATATGAGTGTGTATGTGGGTATGTGCATAATGGTTATCTTTTGTGAGCTGAATGCAAAAAAAAAATCATTTTAATGTAAGCTGATCAGTGTATTTTTAAAGTGGCAACAAAGTTTTTATTCTGTTCTATAATCTCCAGTGGAAAATACCCATGTGCCAATTAATACTTGACTGCTCAAGAACTTTAAATGATTGTGTCCCCTTTGTTAAATGATAGGGCCAGCTCTGCTAGGGAGGATGTTAGATATTCACCCCTTCCACTATGGTTTCCATGGTTTCCACCCAGGTCTTCTCTTTCGGCGGGAACAGAGGTTTGTTCCTATTGGTTGAAGGGTCTGACATCTCCCCATAAAAGGGCTGCTGTCAGACTCAACCTTTGCTGGATTGTTCTCACTTGTACACAATAAAAAGCTGTTGTTACTCTTAACCTGTGTGTGCCTATCCATTACCCAATCTAACACTGGCGACGAGGATGGAATTGGAAGGCAACTAGGCGAACCAAAAAGAGCATAGAACTCCAGTAAGTGCATCCAGCCCGGAGCCTCAGCACTGCAACGAGTGGCCATTTTTGAGTGGCAAACTTAAATCATCCTCTGTACGCAAAATGGCTATGCACGCCCTACCAGCTCCGTATGACCCAGTCACTGAGCAATGGGAATCGTACATGCTATGATTTGACTGCTTCCTTGAGGCGAATGACCTCATGGGCGTTCTGGAAGGCCGCAAGAAAAACATGTTCCTCGGATATTGTGGCCGGGAAGTGTTTGAGATGGCTAAAAACCTCTTGGAGCCAATGTCGCTTCAAGCTGTTCCCTGGTCTGCGCTACAGCGGAGAGAGGCCTGAAAGGCCTATGAAGCGGTATATAAGTCTACTGCTACAGCAAATGCTTAAGACTCACTATGTGCCCAAGCCATCCAAGCATGTTCGCCGGCATGAGTTCAACATAAGGAACCAGAAGGAGGGTGAGTCGATTAACAAATACATGGTGGCACTTCGCAAAGCAGCCGTGTATTGTGAGTTCCGAGACTTGAACAAGCTGTTTCTAGATCGCATAATTTGCAGCATACGGGACATTACCCTGCAGAGAAGGTTACTCGCTAAATCTAACCTTACTCTGCAGATTGCATTGGACAAGGACAAGGCGTCCGAATCAGCTGCCAAATCTACTGAGGCATTGCAGTGCCAATGCACGCCTCAAGAAGTGTGGAAAAGCACTTGAGTTCATCGTGAAGCGGCCGAATCCGAGAGCTCAGAAGGAGAGGAAGATGACAGCTGCCGCATGCGCAGTTGCCGCACACAACCAGCACGCAAATTCAAGCTGCGTTTTTCACTCTGCGCTAGCTGCAGAGGAGAGGAGACCATGCCCATTCGTCTTAGTTTAGTTTAGTTTAGTTTTAGTTTTATTGGGATTTATATGCCGCCCTTTTCCCTGAGGGGACTCAGGGTGGCTTACAACCACAAGGGAGGGGGGTGCAGTGTCAAAAAACAAAACAAAATGTGAACAAAGAAAAATAGTAAAAACACAACTTTCATTCAGCAAAGTTGTGTTTTGCCAAAGTTCAGTCTTGCCATTTCCGCGACACAATTTGCCAACGTTGCGAGCGAAAGGG